AGTGGGCGTGGCTACGCCCATTTTCCAAAAATTTATAAAATTCATGTTTTCCGTCTGAAACTCATTGTAAGTATCAATTTTGAGTGAATTATCTTCAGTAGTTACTAAAATATCGCAGTTTTCGTATTTCTTAAAATTACCGTTATATGGGAGGTAGGCGTGGTTATTGTCCGATTTCGCCCATTTTCAATACCATCCGTCCTACGCCCAAAAGAAGTTCACGTACCAAGTTTCGTTAAGATATCTCAATTTTTACTCGAGTTATCGTGTGCACAGACGGACGGACGGACGGACAGACAGTCACCGCTTAATCGATTTCTCTTTTCATTCTGATCATTTATGTATACATTTGTCTATATCTATCTCGATTCGTTTTGCCTGTTACAAACAACCGTTATGTCAACAAAGTTATAATACCCTTGTGCACAAGTGCGCTCGGGTATAAAAACCGAAATTATGCATATGCACTCTTTCGTTTGAAAACCGAAATAATGCATATGAAAAAACCCGAAATAATGCATATATGCACAGTTTCGGTTGAAAACCGAAATAATGCATACATGCACACTTTCGTTTGAAAACCGAAATAACGCATATGCGAAAAACGAAGTAACGCATACATGCAGAGTTTCGGTTCAAAACCGAAATAATGCATATGACAAAAACCGAATTAATACATACAAGCACAGTTTCCGACTCAGAACCGAAATAGTGCATACATGAAAACGAACTTCTTTCTGCGTAGGCGGCCTTCGCCCGCGCTTAGGGATTATAACCCTTACTAAGTAGAATTTTCCTTTCTGTGTTGCCGGAAAAGGGGACCGGAAGTATTTTTGCTCAGAGCTTCTTTCAGCGCAGGCGGCCTTTGGCCGCGCTTAGGGATTATAACCCTAAGTAGAACTCTCCTTTCTGTGTTGCCGGAAAAAAGGGGACAAAAGTATTTTTGGGTAGAAATTCTCTCTGCGTAGGCGGCCTTTGGCCGCGCTTAGGGATTATCTCCCTTACTAAGTAGAATTCTCCTTTTTGGGTTCCGGAAAGGGGGGCCGGAAGTATTTTTGCGCAGAACTTTTCTCTGCGTAGGCGGCCTTCGGCCGCCCTTAGGGATTATAACCCTTACTAAGTAGAACTCTCCTTTCTGTGTTCCCGGAAAAGAAGGGCGGAAGTAATTTGCGCAGAACTTCTCTCTGCGTAGGCGGATTTAGGCCGCGCTTAGGAATTAATGTGAATTATTTACTTGTACTTAGTAAGTCAATAATTCATATTGTAAAAAACGAAGTAATCCATATGCACACTTTCGTTAGAAAACCGAAATAATGCATATAACAAAAACCGAACAAATGCATGCATGCACAATTTTGGTTCAAAACCGAAATAATGCATATGTGAAAGGCGAAGTAATGCATACATGCACAGTTTCGGATGAAAACCGAAATAATGCATATGTGAAAGACGAAGGTATGTATACATGCACAGTTTCGGTTGAAAACCGAAATAATGCATATGTGAAAGGCAAAATAATGCATGCATGCACAGTTTCGGTTGAAAACCGAAATAATGCATATGAAAAACCCGAAGTAATGCATACATGCACAGTTTCGGTTGAAAACCGAAATAATGCATATGAGAAAATACCGAAATTATGCATATGTATACTTTCGTTTTAAAAGCGAAATAATGTATATGAAAAAAAAAACGAAGTAATGCATACATGCACAGTTTCGGTTGAAACCCGAAATAATGTATATGGCAAAAACCGAAATAAAGCATACATACATGCACAGTTACGGTTGAAACCAAAATAATGTCTAAATGCACAGTTTCCATATGCGCAATTTCGGTGCCCCATACGTACATCTGTATTATCAACGGTATTTACCTCTCGCACCTTTGTCAACGCTCCTCTTGTCTTGCCTTGCGTTACGTACGGTTGTCGCTTAACTGGAGCAAATTAACAGAGTTAGTGATTTCGTTTGTTGAAAATTTATTAAATATGGGCGAGGACGTTTGCCCAAGTTGAAGCTGCCAAGATTTGACGGCAAGTATGCAACCTTCAAAAGGTTCAAAGCACGTTTGCAAACTTAATACACGATGACCCATACACCTACACATACTACACCTGCTGTGTATGCCGGAGACGATTACACCACAACTCCACCTCAGTCAAGTGTAATGCCTGCGAGGGGTGGAGTCACCTCAGAGTCTGCTCGGGACTACGGACACATCGACAGTAGACCACGTAGTACGTGGCCCCCTGTTGCTCAAACAGAGCAGCCTCCACGGCTAACCTCAGTCCGCCCGAGCAGCCTCACACGGTCACCACAACACAATAACACCACAGACCATACCACAGCCACGACAGACCACATAACCCACACAACCGCACCACCACCCACAGGCCGCCGCCAACAACTCCTGGTTCCCCCTACAATCTGCACGGTATGTCAGACCAGGATATTCCGTAATGTGACATCAGTCAAGTGCAACACCTGCCTTGGCTGGTGCCACTTTAGGGCATGCTCAGGTCTGCGTACCACGCGAGATTGGACTGGGAACTTCGAGGGCCCGTGTTCCGCTGCTCGGTCGAAGACCTCAATCGCGATGCCTCCCGCCACCACCACAGGGCGGCAATCATCACAGCAGCGCACTCAGCCAACGGCGGTAAGAACACACACATCACTTACACCCCCCATCACGACACGTATCCCGAACCACATGAAGCTCCTTCAATTTAACTGCAACGGGCTACAGAGCAAGATTGAGGAGATCACCGTCTTCATGTGTCGGCATGGTATATTGATAGCTGCGGTCCAAGAGACGAAGTTGCACAGCAATTCAACTTTGTTGAATTGCGCCGGGTACAACGTGCACCGTCGAGATCGCGAGCGAGATAATGGCGGTGGCTTAGCGTTCATCACGCACCACACCGTGCAGTATCGTCTAATCGAAGCAGACATCGACCGCAGGGATACCACCCTAGAATGTCAGGGCATCGCTATCCGGTCAGGCGATGTTGAGCTCGAAATATTTAACATATACATACCCCGTCACCTGCTGCCCGGCAGGATATCACCCTGATATAGGTGCGCTCCCCAGAGGTGAAAACCGTATGGTAGTAGGTGACTTTAATGCGCACCACGATCTTTGGCACTCAAGCCTGTCAAACGATCGTAGGGGAACTTGGCTGAGCAGATAGACGATTCGACATTCTGCACAATGAACGACGACGCACCCACCAGGATTATGGGTAACTGCAGTAGCTCGCCAGATATCACCATAGTCAGCTGACTGGAAAGGTTACGCTGAGTTTACCGAAAACACCTTCACGGCGCTCCCCACACCAATCGACGTCCATCTCGGTGAACGTAAGTTCCGCAGGGCTGTCACTGCTGCTGCAGCTCGCTTCATACCGGCAGGATGTATATCGGACCCACGTCCAAACTTCCCTGCCGAAGCGGCTGGTCTAGCCGATGAGCGTGATAGCCTTCGTCAGGCCGATCCCGGAGAACCCCGTATCAGGGATCTCAACGCGGAGATTCGGCAACTAGTAAACGTACATAAGCGGAAGAAGTGGGAGGAGCATCTGAAGACCTGTAACTTCACCTCTGGTGTGAGCAAGCTTTGGTCAACCGTGAGGTCACTGTCCAATCCGACGAAGCACGACGACAGAGTCGAAATTTCCTTCGGCGACCATGCTTCGTCGGACCCGGAGCGATGCGCGAGCTATTTTAGCCGGCAGTTCATACTGCATCCTCCTGTGCCCCCCTTGCTTTCACTTGCGGTGAAGTTCAGGTGGCCATCGGGAAGGCGAAAGCCTCCAAAGCCATGGGTCCCGACGGAATATGCATGCTGATGCTGAAAAATTTGGGTCCTGCGGGGGTAGCGTACCTTACGGAGGTCCTCAACTTGTCCATGACCACTCTCATCATCCCAGACATCTGGAAGGTGGGGAGAGTGGTCCCACTGCTCAAACCGGGAAAACCTGCCAACAAAGGAGATTCTTATCGTCCGATAACACTCCTTTCCTCGGTAGCGAAGACACTCGAGGCCTTGCTACTCCCGTACTTCACAAACCACTTGACCCCAGCGAAGCATCAGCATGGTTTCCGTAAAGTGCACAGTACAACAACAGCACTTAACGCCATAAACACTCAGATAACTCGTGGCCTTAACCGAAACCGTCCCTGTGAGAGAACGATTCTTGTAGCGTTGGACTTGTCAAAGGCGTTTGACACCGTCTGCCATTCCACGCTACTAGAAGATATAGAGGCCTCCTCTCTACCACAGAGGCTCAAACGGTGGTCGGCAAATTATCTGAGTGGTCGACATTCGTCGGTAATGTTTAGAGACAAAACGAGTAAATAGAGAAAAATAAAACAGGGGGTTCCACAGGGTGGTGTCCTTTCCCCGCTACTGTTTAACTTTTACATTTAAAAGCTCCCTCAACCACCAGAGGGAGTCTCAATTGTCTCTTATGCCGACGATTGCTCGATCATGGCGACTGGGAATGGAATTGATGA